TCTCGGGCCCGCGGCGGCGGCCGCCCGCGGGCGCGGCGGGCGGTGGCGGCGGGGCGGAGGAGCGCGAGCTGGCGCTGGCCATGCAGGAGGCGCTGGAGCCCGCCGTGCGCCTGGGCCGCTACCCGCGCGCGCAGCTCGAGGTGTCGGCGCTGCTGCTGGAGGACGGCGGCTCGGCGCTGGCCGCGGCGCTCACGGCCGCCGCCCTGGCGCTGGCGGACGCGGGCGTCGAGATGTACGACCTGGTGGTGGGCTGCGCGCTGAGCCGCAGCCCGGGCCCCGACGCCGCCTGGCAGCTGGACCCGACGCGCCGCGAGGAGGAGTGCGCCGCCGCCGGCCTCACCGTGGCACTCATGCCCGTGCTCAACCAGGTGTCCGGGCTGCTGGGCAGCGGCGAGGCGGGCGCGGTCGAGAGCTGGGCGGACGCCGTGCGGCTGGGCCTCGAGGGCTGCCAGCGCCTCTACCCGGTGCTGCAGCAGTGCCTGCTCAAGGCGGCCCGCCGCCGGGGGGACGGGGGCGCCGGGACCCCCGCCGCGGCCCCCGAGGCCGCCGCCGCCCCTGCTGCTGCTGCTACTGCTGCTGCTGATGCCGCTGCTGCCGCCGCCGACGTCGAGACCCCGGCCGCGGCCCCGGACGCTGCTGCCCCCTTGGCCTGAGCGGGAGCGCGGGGACCCGCCCCCCCCCCCCCCCCCCGGCTACCACCAGCCCTACAGCCGCCTCAGGACCCGGCCTCTACCACCGACCGCCATGGCCTGAGCGAGAGGGCAGGACAGGACCCCCACCACCACCACCCTCCAGCCACTACTGGCCCTGCAGCAGCCTCCGACCCCACTGCACTCGTTCCTGCTGTCCAACTAGACTGCATGGGGGGGCGGGGCACCTGGGAAAGGACTGAGCACTATGAGGGGACATTGCACCTTCGAGCCACTGAGCCATTTTTTTGTGTTTGTGTTCATTAAAAGATTGTTTGGTATTTTCCAGGCTGCTTTCTGATTTCTTCCTCAGGGCCAGGATGGTTCTCAGCACCTGTTAACACTTTTCGGGAGCTGGCTAAGAGGTTCTTGTGCCCTGTATCCTCTCATCTTACTCCTCTGAGGGCTCGGCATTGATTGGACTAAAAGCATAGTTAAGGGATTACTTCTGAGTGTCAAACACAGGAAGAAAGGGAAGAAAGTGCCCTCGTGGAGCTATGGCTCTAATTGAGGAACACCAAACTGCAGGGCTGGGGCACCCCAGCCCTAAGGGTGCTGTCAACTGCTGGAGGACAGTCCTCCCATATCTGGAGGACTGTGAGGCAGGGTGGGTAGATGGGGAGAACTACACCAGGCCTGCACAACCCACCCCAAATCCTTGGGCATTCTGTGGGGCCTAAGCAGCACAGGGCAGTGTTGGGCAGGCCTGACACCCACACCAAAGGCTGGCTGCAGCCCTGCTGCAAGTTGTTCTTGGCCCAACCCAAAGCCGATTTAGTTTCACTAGTGGCCCTTTTTTTTTTTGTGTGCCCAAGGTGGTCACAGTTGGTAGATGTGACAGTTCTGGAGAGTGCCATCTTGGAGGTTACCGAGGCATGACCGAGAAGATATCCGAAGATAAAGAAGATCCAATTTAGTCACTTCGAAATGGGAATTCAGAACTGTTAGCCTGGTCCCTGGTGACATGAGACTGGGCAAAGGGGGAAACCCTAGCAAGAGTGGCCATGAGGGGCAGCTAGGTGGCACAGTGGATAGAGCACCAGCCCTGGATTCAGGAGGACCCAAGTTCAAATCTGCCCTCAGACACATAACACTTGCTGTGTGACCCTGGGCAAGTCACTTAACCCCATTGCCTAGCCCCAACCCCCCCAAAAAAGTGGCCATGAGACACATCTAGAATGAATTTAAAGCTAACGTGGCCTGAGTCTGGTGCTGCCTTAATGAGATGAACTAGCTTATCTGTCTGAAGGAGCTGCCTGCAATCCTGAGCAGGTTAGGCCACCCAAGTGGTCTGAATTTCTGCAGGGTTGACTTTACTCACTAAAGGCTTTTCTATTTGACCTCTTTCTGGAAACACTCTCCTCACCCGTCAGACAAAAGGTGCTGGCATCTCCAAAAACCCTAAGGCTGTCAAAGAGTGGTCTGTTTTTGATTTGCACTGACTTCTGAGGAATCCCACTCTGGAGCAGTCCCAGGAAGTTGGACGGGGGGCCTGGCTCTGGGATTTTCAGCCATACACATCTTCAAATTCTATGGAAATTTGAGGTCCCACAGGCTTTCACTCAAACCACAATACGGTTGCGGGGGGGGGGGGGGGGGCAGAAAAGGAACACATCCAAGACCCATTTAACCAGAGAAAAGAAATACAAACTTTTAATTTTTTTTTCATTTTAACACAATACACTTTTCCAGAGCAGATTTGAAATACAGACACAGTATCATACCAGCAAAAAGACAAGCTAGAAACTGGACATAAGAATGAACTACACCTGTTCTGAAAGGACGGCACGGGGGGGAAGAGGGAGGGAAAGCAGGGAAATAACAGGGTTAACCAGAGCAACATCAACCAAGGACCTGACTATCTTCTATGGAGCAGAAATGCACCTGTCAGAAACAGAATTCATTTCCCATGCACCACTGGGGTATGGAATTCTGTGGGGACCAGGGGGAGAGAAAGGGGTCACGTGAAGGCTAGTAGTGCAAAACATTGAAGCCACGTGATCCCGGAAAAAGGGGAAACCTCGGTGAGCCACGGGAGCTGAGATGGAGCTAACATTTGGCTTGGTTGGCCTTCTCAGGGACATCGATCCCCTCTCCTCACGCTGCTGGGAGGAAGGACAGCTGAGGGAGCCCCAGAAGGAACACTGGGGGTTTCCATGTTAAATGGCTGACGTGGGGAGCAGAACCTGGGTGGTGTCTTAGACAAACCACTTTCTGCTGGGGCCAGGAAAAGAGCAAATACTGTTACAAGCTGACTATGCCAGAGAGGTCAAGGGGTGGGATGGCACCAGTTCTCCCCCAAGAGAGATGCTGAGGGTACCCAGGAGGGGTGGGGAACTGAAAAACATCACTGAGCATCTTGGTGAGGGAAGAGAAGGATGAATTTGGAACTGAGGGGTCTGCCCAGACTCTTCCCCAAATGCCCCTGTCCTGCCAAGTCTTACTACCAAGGGAACCCCTTTTTCATGGGATGGGGGGACCAACACAGAGGAAAGAAGGGTTGGTATTCAAAAGGAAGTTCTAGACCTGCTGCATTTTCCTGCCTCCCCAGACCCATTACTGCAGGCCGGCACCTCAGGGACTTCTACGGGTTCTGTAGAGAATGCAGGACACCCAGCAGGCTCCCGTGGGCAGGAGCAGACGAGGCTCTACTGTAACAGCGGGGAGAATGGAGGGCAGGAGACACGTGGCACTGGCTGGGAGGCCTCAAAGAAATACAAACACAGGAAAAGGAAAGGATCCGAGCTGGGGAGGCCACAGCAGGGGCCCCAGAGCTTCTACTGACTCCCATCGGGGTCCAAGGTGTGATTTTTCATCTGTAAAGCAAAAAAAGTTTAGTTACATTTTTGGCTGGTTTTGGAGGACCTGAGTCAAGGGTTCAGAGGACCTATTTAGAGTCAAATATGTGGAAAAAAAATCAAGTCAGATATGGGCTTCTAAAAACGTGTTCCCAAGAAGACCCCAACATCTACCGCGGGTCTAACTCAGAGTTTCTGGAGAGACTGGTCTCCTGAGCAGTCACTATGAAAGTGTCTCAAGTAATGTGAGCGTTCACTGGGCAAAGGGCCCACAGTGTAATGGTGAACCACAGGAAACTGAACACACAGGGTGGGAGAGGGGGATCTGTGTCCAGCCACATACCAAGGCCTTGTCCTATCATGAGCCTGCCATGCTGAGCCCCTGAGAACCTCAGTGTCCAGGCTGGGCCAAAGAAGAATACCTCAGTTCAATTTATCCCCCCTCTCTCCACCCCATCCCCCCGCAAAAAAAGAGCAAACTGAGCCAGCTGGGAGGGAGGGAAGGAAGACCTCAGTTTCTTCATTTCTCAACTGAGGAGATCTGAACTAAATGATCTCTTAAGGTGTCTTCTAACTCAGGACCGCGTGATCCCAAAAGCTGATGTTTTTCTCCAAACTGCTCAGAAGGACAATGGCTGAGGTCTCCATTGAGAGCTCTTCCAGGCCTGGTTCTGAGCACCCCCTTCCCCCAACCTTGGCCTCCTTCCTGTGACGGGCTGGCCCTTGTGTGTCTCAGCTCACAGTCGTGAACAATTCGCCACGTGTGGCTGTCACAGGGAGCTCCAGCCACACCTCACAACCCCTGAGGGAGGGTGCTCAGCAGCTCCCTTCTTTCTCCCTCTGTTTCTTGTCTTCTCCAATTCTAAGATGAAATGGCATTTCCATGAGGAGCTAACGGCCCAGGGGCAGTAGGGACAGGAGGATGGTAGGCAGGGAGCAGCCCCATATCTCCTCAGCCCTGGCTGGGACACTAGGAAGGGCACAGGGAGGAACAAGGTCTGAGGTGCCTGGGGAGCCAAGGGTCTGGCCCCAGCTCTACAGCAGCTATGGGGTGGGAGATGAGTTCCAAGGGCACAGACCCTCCCCGCCTCCTCCGTGTCCGTGCTCTCCTCCGCACTGTCGGCATCCCTTCGGCTGCGGGCTCTGGGCTCTGGGCTCTCCTTGCCCCGGGGCTCTCGCTGGGCCTCAGCTGCTGCACTGGGGGATTCTCCGCTGGCTGAGGCCGCCTTCTTCTCACCGTCTTGGGGCCCTGTGTAACAAGAACCCGCCCAATCAGAAGGAGCCATCCTCCCCAGACTGCAGGGCAGTGCCACCGGGGCCTGGCCCCGCACCAATCTACTCCCTCCTCACAATGCCCGGGTACGTGGGCCCGTCCTGCACTAGCACACTGGCAGCTGAACCGACCCCATCATCACAAACGTCACAAACCAAAGGCACTGCTCAATGCTGGGCATACGGAGGTGTCTGCACCATCCCTGCCACCGACAGGCTTATCACAGTCAAATCTGGAGAGAATGTGAACATTAAGACGGTTGCTCATGCCAAGTCGATCTGGGCTGACGCAGTCAAGGAAATACAGAGCAGGCAAACTGAGGCTTTGGGGATGGCTCCATCTTGTGCTCCTGCCCTGCTACGTGCGGCACTGGTAAAAATGAACTTGGCACTGCTGGTGAAAAATGAAACCAGAAATAGCAAACAGGGTTGGAGCCAAACTGTGACGAGACTCAGGTACCAACTTTGCAGCTGGCAAGGGCAGCGCACAGTCAAGCAACTTCTAAACTTTATGAGTCGTATGACTCTGGGCAAGCCATTTCAACTCTGCCTGCCTCAGTTTCCTCATATGTAAAATGGGGATAATGACAGCCCTTACCTCCCAAGGCTGTCATGAGGATAGAAAAAGATATGTGTAAAGCACTGTTAGCCTTAAGGCATTAGATATTATTTATGAGGATGCTGATGATGAACCTAAGAAATCCAGAATTCTCTGGTTCTCCATTCCAGCTGTTTATAGGAGGCAGCACCTTGCCAGAAGCATTGCCTGGGGACATTTGTAGAACAGACTGAAGGGAGGGGGGTGGAAGGTAAAGAGGTGGGGAGGGAGGAGGGAGGCTAGAGTACACACGCAGGACCAGGTGCCCAGGGCAGGCTGAGAGCAGGGCAGCAGGACCAGGTGCCCTGAGCAGGCAGAGGGCGGGGCAGCAGGACCGATGCCCCCACCTGGCACCCTCTGGGGCTCCTTTACCTCCCAGCCGGTCTCGCCGCTGGTCCATACGCTCCAGGCTCTCGAGCAGACTGTCCACCTGGACCTTGATCTGGCTCAGCTCCCCCTTGATTGAGTGCAGCTCCTCGGCTCTTACTGCACGAGGACAGAGACAACAGTGGCTTCAGCTCAGAAGGGCTCAGCCTGAGGCACCAGGGATTTCTCACCAGGATTCCAGAGGAGGTCCCTGGAGCCTGGAGCCAGCCAAGGTTGGGGGAAGGGTCCCAGAGGGACCAAGCTCTCTGAGTGCTTTCAGGCTAGGACACAGACAGTCCTATGGGGCCAAGTCTGGGCCCCTTCCTCAATGTCTAATCTCCCGAGTGGGGAGGGCTCCTAGGGGTGGCAGCGGAGGGCAAGCAGATACCTCGTGTAGTGTTGGGCCAGCCTGAGAACCAGAGGATATTCCCTGACTTCTGGGAAACAGGCCACAGGCAGATTCTGGGAAGCATCCCCACCCCGGGCCTCCGGGCTCCCCACTCACACTTTGTCCGGACGGGGGGTGGGTTGTTGCTTCGTGGAGGAATGTGGGGACTGAGGCCACTCTTGCCTCCTGCGCCCATGTGGGTCCGTCTGCTCTTGACAGGTGCTCGGTTGATAAGTGGGGGGATCCTCTGATACTCATACAACCTAAAACACACAGCGGAGGCTCTCTGGATGGTGTTCAAGCCTCAGCACAGTGGCAGGCACCAGCCATGCTAGCCTGCTTTCCCTAGAAAGCTGTCAGGCTTCCTCCAGCAGTGCCTCAGGAAGGGGTGCTGTGAGCTGAGAGGGAGGAAGGACCCACCTGTAGGGGAAGTCTTCCCGATACAGCTCATAGTTCAGGTCACAGTTACTGCTGCAGAGGAAATACACCAAACACAAAGGTCACCATCTAGCACCAAAGAAATGCTCCCTAACCTGGCCTCTAGTAAGTAAGTGACATCAGGGGAAAGTGAGGCAGGGAGAGGAGGAGCCCAGGGGGGACAGGCTCACTGCTCAGGGATTCTAAACTAACTCTTGCCACGCCTTCCATTTTAAAAAGTTTTACCGGTGCCTTTTGATTTTTGCCTCATTTGGAGATCTATGGTTACCCTCCCTTCCCCTCCCCCCATCAAGTGATTCTCTCTGATGCTGTGTCCAAGCCACTGCTGCTCTCAGACAGAGGAGAGGAGGCTGTGGTCATCTGCCCTCTGGAACCATCATGGATTTCTCCCACAGCCTGAGTCTGGCTTCCTCTTAATTCAGTAATCTTTTCATTTCCATGCTGTCACTGTCAGTCCTCCACAGCACCCCTATACTGGCTGGCCTGCAGTCCTGTCGATGGGCACTGACTTTGTTTCCAGTTCTCTCTTATCCCAAAAGGGCAGCTACCTTCCATTCCCTATCACCCACCTGGGCCAGGACAGGCCTTTGAGAACCTCCCCCCCTCACCCCAGGCAGCCTCCACTTCACGCGGATGCCCGAGATTCCATTATTGGTAGGAAGAGAGAACAATGTCCAGGCCTGGGAGCTCTGGGCCATGCAGGCCACCTGCCTGCTTGTCTCTGCCAGGCTGTTTCCTCTATGGGGGAGCACAACAGGAGGGTAGGCCCCAGACTAAGGGGCAGGCAAGAAAGGAGGCACAGGATAAGGTCTAGGGCGTCCAGGGGTGGGGCAGGGAGTGGGGAGCCGTGAGGAGTTAGTCAGCGGCAGGTAAACCCCTCAATGCCAGGGATCCCACTTCTCACAGACCAAGCTAACTACCAGAACAAAGAATGATATCCATGCCTCCCAACATGAAACAGCAGCAAAGTGACAAGAACACAACAGGGGGCTGAGGGGCAAACCCTGTAACTCAGGAGAGTTCTAGGGCTGTATCCTAGAGAGATCATACAAATGGGAAAAGGACCCACATGTACACAAATATCTATAGCAGCTCTTTCTGTGGTGGCAAAGAATTGGAAATTGAGAGGATGCCCATCAGCTGGGGAATGGCTGAACAACTTGTGCTATATGAATGTGATGGAATACTACTGTGCAATAAGAAATGATGAGCAGGCGGACTTCAGAAAAACCTGGAAAGATTTGTATGGACTGATGCAGAGTGCAGCAAGCAGAACCAGGAGAACATTGTACACAGTAACAGCCATGATGTGCAATGACTAACGTTGATAGACTTAGCCCCTCTCAGCAATGCAAGGATGTAAGACATCTCCAAAGGTCTCATGATGGAAAATGCTATCCACATCCAAAGAAAGAACAATGGAGTTTGAATGCAGACCAAAGCCTACTATTTGCTATTTTTTTCTTCTGTTGTGCTTTGTTTCCTCTTTCTGGAGATTCCTCCTATTGGTTCTAATTTCTTACTTACAACATGCCTAATGTGAAAATATGTTTAATAGGAATGTATATGTAGAACCTATATCAATCAGATTGCGCACCATCTTGGGGAGAGAGGTAGAGAAAAATTTAAAACTCAAAAGCTTATGGAAGTGACTGTTGATAAATCAAAATAAATTAATAAAAAAAAACCCAAAGGGGGTCAAGAAGTCAGACACATTTGCTAAAACTGAGTATTAGTTTAAAAAACAGAAAAGCCACTGGAAGGCCCAAGATAAAGAGGCTGTTTACAAGTTTTAGCAGTGAAGTGGAGGACAGCAGGAATAGTGAGGGGTCAGAGAAGGAGCAAGATGGACAGTAAGAAGATAACAAGCAAGAGATCAAGCTGAGCCCCATCTTCTCCACGAGGGCCTGTCTGAGGGGCCAGCACTGGGCAGGAAAGGCTACTTATTTCTAATCAACTTTTAGGGGAAAAGCGATCTTGAAGGCAAACGAGCTGGGTGGAGGGCCATCATCAGGTTTCCCATCAGGGCTAATCCTCTCTGGTTTCAGAGTCCACTTGCAGGGGAACTGAGGATGCTTCTACCACATCCTCACTTTGCCTGCTAGGAGTTGGAGAACAGGGGGCAGCTGGACTGCAGCAACAAAAATGAAGGATGACATGGAAATACAGCTCTACTGGCTTGGATTCCCTGACATGACGAGAGACTTCCTGTCAGTACCAAAATACAGGACCACTCCCGGGGGAACAGAATCAAGAGAGTCCGGGCACCTTCCTTGTCTCACCAAGAGACAAAATGCAGAATGTGCTGGGGTGCAGAGGAGTAACCCAAGGCCAGCCTTGTCGCCTCCTCTCCTGAAGGAGGCATCCAGCCTGGTTGAGGGGCCAGCACGAGGATTCATTCTCATAGGAAGAACACAGAGAAGCAGGAAAAGCTTCTGAACAGATGCAAAGTTAAGCGGGTAAACAACGCACACCCGAAAACCATGTAAATGAAAAGAACAGAAATGCCATAAAACCCAATTAAGCCCTTCCACACCCGGCAGAGGTGGGGAGCCCGTGAAATGCCGCACAGTTTGGCTGATGCCCCTGTTGGGTTGTGCTGAGCTTTCCCCCTCTTTTATTCTGGTTTACAAGGCGCAGCCTTGGAAGGAGAGCCAGCCCCAGGCCACCAGTACCTCTATAAGCCCCAGAAGAGGCAGCCAAGTGGGGCTGTCATCCGATGCGGACCCTCTGAGAACATTCAGGATGGCTCCCCATCTAGCCAAGGCTGCGGGGCTCAGCCAGCCCTCGGCACAGATGAAGATGGAGATACTAACCCAGGGAATAAAGGCTGCTTTTTGGAGCGGAATCAATTAGATAAATGGTAGCAGTAAAGACAGGGCCCAGTGTAACAGCAACAGTGTTGGGCGGGAGGGAGCTCCCAGAGCTTTTCGCCAAGGCTGCCAGGCTGCCTCCGGGGCTCAAAGAGTCCAGGATGACCCACTTCCTCCAGAATCTGAGGCAGGGCCAGGCTCAAGGTATCCTCCCGGCTTTTAAGAAGCAAGGGGAGAAAAACAGACGTTTTTAAATGCAAATAAACAGAAGCGCAATGGAAGCGTCTTGAGCAACAGCAGTGATTCCTGCCCAGGCCCCTCCCTCGGGGGTCTGTGCAACCCTGCCCCCCAGAGACAGACCTCAGGAGCGAGGACGAGAAGAATGTTGCTGCCAGGGCCTTTCAGATGTAGGAGGAGACTGGGGTGGGAAAGCAGGAGGAGGAACCATGTGGGACGGGCTGGGTGGGGAGCCTGGGGAAATAAGAATTCAACCCACCGGGGCCATCCCAGCTGCCCCAGCAGGCACTGAAGGCTGGGCCTGAATGGGGACAAGAAAAGCTCAGGTTGACTCCGAGGGCCCTTCCTCTAACCTCGGCCCTTCTGCGGCGAGACTCCTGGGGCAGGTACCGCTGCAGATACACAGCTGTGCACCAGGGGGCCTCAGGAGCACTACTTGGACAGCTGGGAGCAGGGCTCCCCACAGCTGGAGCATTGGTGGTTCAGTGGTAGAATTCTCGCCTGCCACGCGGGAGGCCCGGGTTCGATTCCCGGCCAATGCAAAAGCTAGGAATTTTTAGGCTCTTCCACTCACTCCATTCTTAAATTTAGTCTCTGGAGTTCTAAGATAAAAGCATCATTCACCCAAAGAAAGTGAAAGGAGTGAGGCATCAGACCTTTAGATTTCTCTCAGAGCCTGTGGGCAGGACGCCCCTCATCTCCAGTGCATTTATGTCTGTACTCTTACCTTTCCCCACTCAGGATAACAAAGAGAAAAGAAAAGCAGTGCAAACACGCTGGCCAAGCATTCAGTGCTGTAGTCAGTCAGGCAATCAACAGGTAAGCACCTACCACGTGCCAGGACTGTGCTAAGTGCTGGGGACACAGTAAGAAACAAGAGACGACACCCCCTCAAGGAGGGGAGACAACAAGCCAAACAAATACATACAAACTATGGACAAGAGAAACAGAAGACAATTAAAAGAGGGCAGGCACCAGAATCGAGAAGGCCCGGGAAAGACTTCTGTAGAAGATGGATGGTGGCTGGGACAAGAGGAAGGGGATCATTCTGTCGGGGGAGGCTCAGGCAGGAGGCCAGTGTCGCACAGGAAGACGGGAAAGGCAGGAGGGGACCAGGCTGTGAAGAGTGTCGACTGCCAGAGGATTCTGTATTTGGTCCTGGGGTGGGGGGGAGCCACTGCAGTCTACTGAGTGAAGGGGGTGGGGTGGGGGGGAGGTGACATGGGCACAGCTGGGAGTACTTTAGGAAAATGTTTTGGTGGCTGAAAGGAGGATAGACTGGAGCAGGGAGAGACTTGGGCCGGCAGGCTGCTGCAGCTGTGCAAACAGGAGGCAACCGGGGCCAGGCACCAGAGGGGAGAAGGGGGCACATTTGGGAGAAGCCACAAAGGTGAAGCCACGGCGTGGATGGGGGGAAGGGAGCACTGAGACAGGGAGGAGTCCAGGATGACTCCTAGGCTGGAGCCTGGGGGATGGGAGGGTGGTGCTGCCCTCTACAGGAACAGGGAAAGGAGGAGAGGGGAGAGCTTAGGGGAAAGACTTCTCTTCTGAACATAATGATTTTAAGATGTCTACTGGAAATCCGGTGTGAGATGTCTGAAAGGCAACTGGAGATGAGAGATCAGAGGCAGCCAACACCTGGGACAGGACAAGCAGGTTTGAGAACTATCAACATGGAGATGGCAATGAAATGTGGGCCTCAGTCAGCAGCGGCACATTGTTCAAGCAATGGCTCTGTTCTTGACTTGTCTACAGGAGGTCTGGGTTCAAATTCAACATACAGTCTACGCGTGGGTCAGCGCATCTCTGAAGTCCGTCTAGGGACCTGATTTGATGCAGATGAACGTTGATGACATTCGTCACATTTCTGAACCTTATCTATTACAGGCCTACTGATTTCCCACAAAGAGAAAAGAGAAAGGATAAATATAGATATAGGAGGGTAATTTCTCAGCGACTCCATCTTTCACTATCCTTAAATCATCTCATTTTTTTCCTTTAATTTTATTTTGGTAAAGACTATAAGCTCCATAAAGGTAGGGATCATGACTTACCTAAAATGTGAATCTCTCCCAATGATACAATGCCTTATACACAGTAGGCACTTAATAAATGGTGGGGAGATGAATGAGAGAATACCAAAATGCAATCACCAAGCAGTCAAGGGGTCTTCACCAATTTCGAGGTAGAAAGCCCCACATGCCTCTGCCTGCAGAGATCTATCCCCTCCTGACCACTGACAGGTTTCCCCCACCCCGGACAGAAAACCCAGCATACCATCATCGCCACAAAAGCTGGAGCAACTCCCCACAAACAACTTCACTCTCTATTCCTCTGATTCCCTCGGACTGCCAGCCTGCTGATCTGATCCATGCCAATCCCACCCCACAGGGTAAGCAATAAATGTTCAAGTGAGCAGTCCTCTGAGGTGAGCACCTTGAAGGAGGGGTGGTATGGAGAAAAACGTGATCAAACAGAAGGACAGGAGATGGAAATGAAGAGGTGAGGAGGGTGGGCAGGTGTGGTCAATGCAGAAGGGCCAACAGCAGCACTCGACGGAACAGACCAGTGAGGGAAGGTGTCCAGAACTAACCGGCCGGAGCTGGCTCCCATCACTTACCAAGGAAAAAGGGAGCCGCCAGCAAAGCAGGTCATGAGAAAGAAAGCAGATCCCTCCCTGCCTGGGCCATCTCCACGGCAACAAGGAATAAGCCCCAGGAGCTTAGACTCTTAAACTCACAGGCCAATGGCCAGTGACCAGATGGGCATCCTGGCTTCCCTCCCCTTCCCACTCCATGGCAGCCGGCCCTGACTTCATGCTGGGCCTGCCACCATTCACGGGATTCCCCATCAGAAGACTCTCCACTCCTCATCCCAAAGCTAATGCACAGCGAGTAGCTAAGCAGACTGATGAATGCCACAGGTGGTCAGTGGGGATGGCAACACCACTGCCCACCTTCCTAGGATAGGCTGAGTCAAGGGGGGGGGCCAACAATAGGAGAGAGCTAAGGAGCCATCTCCAGGGGAGCTGGAGGAGAAAGCCTGGCTGGCTTCATGAATCCAGCCACAGCCCTTCAAAGGCACCAGCCCCCAAATGCCCTTTCAGGAACGTTCCCAGTCGGTCCCACCTGGTTCAGAGCTCCCGATCCCTATCTGGCTAGCACAACCTCCTTCATGTTCCCTAGAAGCAGAGGTAACAGGTAGGGGGTGGGAGAGAGCCCTGCGCTGTGCTGCATCAACAGCCATCAGCACTGGCTCAAGAGAACACAGTGTTTGGCCCAAGTCACGAGCCCCAGACACAGTGGCCTCCCCATCCCAGCACTGCTCTCCTTGGGCCCCTCGGCCAGCTCGCCCCAAAGCTCTGAAAGAGACTCACTGGTAGAGGGTAGCGCTGTGCTGTCGCTTCTGGCCAGGCCGGGCCCGGCTCCCCTTGGGGTCTCTGGCCATATCTAAATCTAGAAAGAGAAAAGGAAGGAGAAAGCAATCAGAAGCGTGAGAAAGCAGGCTAGCGGGTGGGTGGGCAGGGCTGTTAGGGAGGGGAGAGGAAGGAGCCTAGCAAAGAAACTGAAATTTTTTAAAAATGCCTAAGGATGTCAGAGGTGGCTGGAGGATTCAGCTCTAAGCTGTGTTGTATCTCTAAGTCCTCTCTGGAGACCATGGGCCAGGGCTGACCCAAATCAAAAGGACTTTTAGGCTCTGCGATCTGAGACCCACAACTGCTTCACCTGGCCCTCCGGGAAAAGCTTAGTTCGAAAAAGAAAATCACCAGGAGAAACAATAGGTGTTTCCTCCCCAACCTAAGGTCAGTGACCTGCATCTCTCTTCTCCTAAGCCCTGGAACCAAAGGGCAGGTGAGAAGCACCAACTAGACCTTCTCTGCTCTGGGGAAAAGAATGCAAAGGTTGTAAAGGGGAGAGAGCAGAGGAGGACACACCCCTGCCCCACCACACCCATTCCAGGAGCAGGGCTGGGTTCCCATCCTCTCCAAGAAGCTCCTGGGGTAAGTAGAAGAGGGCTTGAAACCCCCTGAACCCCAATGTGCAGGACAGGCAACAACCTGCCAGTGGCTCACGGCATCCTGCTCACAAGTGTGAGAATCAGTCAGCTGATGGAGGAATTCCTAGAAGTGCCAGGAGCCACTGTTGGGTTCCACCATCTGTGTGAGAAGTGCAGACTGACCCGGACACCAGAGCTTGGGGTTCTCAGGGAAAGAGCCAGAGGAGATATCAGAGGGGATTTAGAACGTCTGCTTTTAAACTCCTTTCCTGGTCTTTACTGAAATAAAATTTTAAAACTGACAATTCAAGTCAGAAGCCCCCAGCTACTTTGGATTTTTGTTTTTAACCAGTTTAGGGTTGAGATCATGCACAGGTTTGGAGCTGTATACGGTTTTAGAGATCATCTCCTTCACTTTACAGATGGGGAAAAGAGACAAAAAGATGCAGTGACTCATGCAATGTAACACAATTTAGTGACAGAGCTGTGACTCGTTTGTAATTCAATTTTATTTTATTTTCAGTTCAGAATTCTCTCCCTCCCAACTCCACCCTTCTCATCCAGTGAGAAAACAATACAAACAAAACTTAGAAAAATTTATAATCAAGAATAAAACCACATCCCCACAGTGGCCGAATATTCCCCAACCCCCCCACCCTCCTAGCCGTCACCTTAGTCGGAAGCGGCAGCAGGAATGCTTTGGAGGAGTTGCTAAGTCTTTCACCGTTGTCTGCCTTTACAATGTTGCTGAAATTGTGTATCAAGTGTTCTCTTGGTTCTGGTCACTGCACTCTGCATCAGTTCGTACAAGTCTTCCCAGGTTTCTCGGGAAACCATCCCCTTCTTCATTTCTTACAGCACAATAGTATTCCATCACAATCATATACCACAACCTGTTCAGCCATTCCCCAATTGATGGGCATCCCCTCAGATCTTCTGACTTCAGTTCTCTACTAGACAACTCACTTTATACTTAAAATACTTTAACTAAGGGAACTGTCATAGCAAGAATTATTTTAACAGACAAAAAACAGGATTACTGGCATGATGTAAATTGGTTATGAGGTAAAGAAAAAACTGTCCCAGGTATTCATCAGTCAACAAGCATCTGTCAAGCACTTACCACATCCCAGGCAGTCCTAAACATGGGATACAAAGAAAAGAACAAATGAAGTTCTGGCCCTCACCACAGGTCATAAGTACAAGATCTATACAGTGTAAATGGGGGGGGGGGGTCTGAAGAGAGAGGGACCCAGAAAGGCCTCATGAAGGAGAGGGGACTGAGCTGAATTTTGAAGGAAACCAGAGAAGTCAGGAAGATGAGGGCCAGGGCATCAAGGAACAGCAAGAAGGCTGGTGTTGCTGGAATGCAGAGCACGGAGGGTCGTTGTGAAGGGTGTCCTCAGGGGACAGCCCTGGTCCAGAGCCTGCCCCAGGACAGGGGTCATGTGAGTGGAGAAGTGGGCTCAGGGAGGCCCCAGGCAATGCCTTCTACAGAAATAGGGGGAGGGTTTGGTGGGAACCTGTCAAGTCTGAGGTGTCTCCAGGACATCCAGTACACCCTCCAGGAGCAGGAAGGCTTCTGAGGAACCCAATCTAGAATTACGGATGGAACCACAAGGGCTTGGGCAGGACGCCAAGACCCAGCCTTAGAGTCTGCCTGGACATCAGCAAGTTGCTAATAAGAACAGGTGAAGGTCTCTCTGGATGGGGCATAAAGCACACCAACTCCACCATCACCTATCAAGTGCAAGGTATTGTGCCAAAAACATCAGCAAGAAAACATCCCTCAGGGAGCTGGCCACATAAGACACCTACGGAAGCTTCCACTCAGTAAACACATTTTCAGAGCCTCCTATGTGGGGAAAGCACTGCAAAGGGGGAAAGTGCTGCAGAGCAGGGGACGCCCCCCCCAGAAGACAGGCCTTATAGGGGTATGGCCCATCCAAAGGTGGGAGCAGCCTCCCTACCCTGCCCCGGACATCACGTCTCCCGCTCCCACGTGGCGCCGGCATTGGGGCCTGAGCACAGGCTGGAGGGCCAAGGGTGGATGCCACTTCCAGAATCCCTTGGCCATCGTCACTCAGCAGTGATGTCACGTGGGAACCAAGAGATTCCCAGCAGCGTCCAATCTATGTCCACACAATCTCTCCCATGGGTCTCCTTCCCATTACCATCTCTAGGCCCCACTCCTCATTGAGATCCTCATTCTCACAAGAGTCTCCTAATTGGTGTCTCTAACTCTAGGCCCTCCCCTTTCCAGTATGACCTCCCCAGCAGCCCAGGTCACCGACTCACCTGCTCAAACATCTTCAGAGGCTCCCTACCACCTTTAGGATGAAGTACTACCCAGACTGGCATATTGTCTCCTCAACAATCTGGTTCACACCTCCCTCTCCAGTCTGATTTCCTATCACTATACTTCGCACACATCGTGTATGTTCCAGCCCAAATGGCCAAACTCAATATTCCATCTGCAGTGGATGCCAAGCAACTCACAAGCAGCTTGCACTTAAACGCTTGGCAAACTGAATTAGGATAGAACATACTTTTCTGTCTCTTAGCTCCTCCTCATTAGCTCCTTTCAAAATTCCACTCAGGCACTGTTTCTTCCAGCATCTCTTTTCTGCCCTCTGTCTGTTCTCAAATTGTCTTTGTTTACTTACCTGTAGACATGTTGTACCCCCCCAGAAAAGGTAAGGTCCTTGAGAGCAAAGATTGTTTTGTCTCTGTACCCCTAGTGCCCAGCAATGTGGCTCACATAGAGTAAGCATTTCATAAATAAGTGTGTGTTCTACTGAATTTAATGACAAGCCTAAAAAGGTGGCCTTTTTCAGGAAACCACTCCTGGGAGCCCCTGGCCAACAAATACTAACCTCTGACACTCTCAAAGCTGGAAGGGGCCCAGGGAACATCCTATCCCAGCCCTCCAACATACGAAGCCAGAGTGGTTCATCAACTTGGTCTAAGTAACACAGCTCATGAGTGCCTGAGCCCAAATTCAAAGCCAGATCCTGACTCCAGGGCACACCCTTTCTTTGGTGCTTGAGACCAAATGAAAAGGAATCAGAGTGGTGGAAAATCAGGAGGTAGAAATGAAAGCCAGCTGAATTGCCTGACCTCTCCTTTTGCTGGATTTTCTGAGGAATCTTCGGGAGTGAAGGACCTCCAGGTGGTGTTTTGGGAGTCAGTCCACCACCAACAAGCTTTGCAAAGACAAATAAGTTTACACTGGTGAGGAAATAACACACACCCCGAAGGTGGAGACAGAACAAATACAATGTAGAAGAGAGACGGCTGTCTGAGGAAGCCTTCTGACATCTCTGCTGCCCTCCTTTCAAATCCAGCATCTCCGGAGCTGTGCTCACATCTTCCCTGGAATTCCAGCTCTGTCCCAGACCTTCTTTTGTGGCTAAGGAAGGTGAGTCTTTTTTTAATTTACTTTTTCATAGTCACAGCAGCTCTTGAACTTAACCCTGGAGAGAAATCAAGTTGTCTAGGGAACACTCTAATTACCTTCCAAATCTAACCTAATAATGATTTGGTGCAGCTTTGACATCTGGCCCAACAAATGAACCAATGGGAAAAGTGAGAGGACCAGCCCGGTGCTAGATGATTAATTTTTCAGCCACTGCAACTCAAACCCTGTGGCTCAGGTGGAGAGGGGTTGCTATCTTTGTTAGTGAAGGCAGCACTCATACCAGTGAAACACATCTCCTAGAAGCAAGCCTCCCTTGCCTTCACATACCCGAGCAGCCAGCATGGAGAAGAGGGACCAGACGGCAAAAGTGCCAGCCAAGAATGGAAGTGTCAAGAGGCAAACTGAGGCTTGATGTAAGGGAAAACTTTCTAATCATTAGGACTATTCAAAAGAGGAATGGGCTGCCTTGGGAGGCAGTAGGTCTCCCCTCAATAGAAATCTTTAAGGCCGGAGGGGTACTTCTTGGGTACCTTACTTTAAAAAAAAAAAAAAAAAAAGCTTTCTTGATGCCTTTTGTTTTCACATCCATCATTTCCAAATACGCTCCCCCAGCACTGAACACGTAAGGACCATGCCTGACCAGGGATGCAACATGATACACGATAAGAGGAGTTCTCTACCTCTCTGCCAAAAGAAAGAAGGGATGTTTCATCCTCTGTTCCCTGGGACCATGAACTCGCTCAGAGCTTGGCTTTCTTTTGTATTATTTTTCTTTCCGTAACTGTGGTCACTGTTCTCCTGGCTCCACTTACTTCCCATACAGTCTTTTCTACGTGGCTGCCCATAAGGTTGGCTCTAGAACCCAAAGTGGCAGCCACCCTTCTAGGGGACAACCTTCAAGTGCGATTATCGGTACAGGAGGCACAGGGAGCAAGCCGAGAGGGGACAAGAGCCCAGAGAGACCGGGAAGGCCGCCAACACCCATGCTGTGCTCATAACTGGGTGTCTGCTTTAGAGTTCCTTTTTGGAGGTAAATGGCCAAATCTACGACACT